TTGTTGTTCAAGTGCGAAAGAGAATTCCATTCCGGCGCGCTGTCTGGCCACACGATACTGTTGCGCGTCTTTCTGCGCGTCGTGTGTGCGTCATTGGAATGGAATGAATGAATGAATGAGTGTGTGCATCAGGACATTCACATACACAGCGTTCTCTTTAGTCTAATCGCGCATAGATGCAAAAAAAGCTTTTGCAGTTCATATAATGTAACGATATTTACAATACAAGGATGACGCTGCGTTAAACTGGACAAACTTAAATCGCAAGCGTTAACATTGACAGCACTTGTTAGCAGTATATACAATAAGAATCTCATAATTTGAATGTGTGAACATAGCCCCTCTCTATGAATCAAAACTTTATACCTTATCCGTCTTCTGCGCAGTTTCTTCATATTGCGTTTGTACAGAATTACACAAAATTAGTAAAATAACAAATATTGCAGTACGAAATATCTCCATGCTGAGCCTTTTTTGCACTTCCTGATTTCCCTACTTGAGAATCCTTGTCCAATGAATGGACGACCTTAGCACACGTGTGGTTTTGTTTACAAATTTTGGTTCACTTGCAAAAAGAGCAGTGTGAAAGCGAACCGTACCAAAAAAAAAAAAAAAAAAAACATTATTTGGTCCGGACCAAAGCAAGTGAACTATCGGACTTTCCAGGTGTGAATACACCCTAAAGCAACTTAAGCCTCTATTATGCCCCTATTATGCTATTTTAAAGGTTCCTAATGTTGTTTTGGAGTCTCCTACAACAGGTTTACATGCATCAAAAGGCAAAAAACTAAATGAAAGTTTCATTTTCTAATAATATACATTGCACATCACCACATTCTTTCAATGATCTTTTCTCTCTAAATCCCGCCTTTACCCGAGGCTGCTCTGCTCTGATTGGCCAGATAGCACAGTCTGTTGTGATTGGTTTACCGCTTACAGCACTTGTTGGAAACGAAACGCCCATTACCATAACTGAATTTCAGATCCAGAGGCTTCCTAAAGCTCAGCGATTGTTCACACTGTAAAGACAGTAACGAACAATGATGTCGATTTTACCATATCAATCCGAGTGCGAATCTGATGATGAAACATTGGACGAACTAGTTATTCAACCCGAACCTCCATCGCAAGGAAGACTTGAAGCAGGATGTTTCTCAGTCATACCAAAGTCCTTTTAGGCAAGTCATGCCACTCGGCCGCCATCTTGGCAACGCCTCCGGGCAGCTATTTCGGACTAACAAGACCAGGCTCCTATCTAAATGAATGGGCAGAGAGTCAGAACTGCAGTTTCACTGGTCACCGGGACATAAAAACTGCATGTATAGAAACAGCAGTAAAATATGATAAAAATCGCTGAAAAAGTTTGATGACTTTGCCTCAAAATAAGGTTTAAAAGGTATTTTTCCCCACAGGTTATAAGTTTACTACGCATGTGCAAGGGTTCTCGTCTCCACTGTCGCAAACCTCAACTGTGCGCATGCGTCAGTGGAACCAGACGATAGGCTTACATGTTTCCCGGCTTGACTGTTAAAAGCAGACGATTGGCTTTCCAGCGGGAGGGGCGGGGCATGTGCATACAACCGCCATCTTTGGCGTTACGGGTTTTCCCTTTATTTGTATTGAGGATTGAGGAAGTGGCATGTCTCTATATAAATTGTCTCTGGTCATACACTATTCAGTCTGACGTACGTATACAGTTTTCTGTTTTCAGGTGAAAAAAGTGTTGTGTAAGCGGCCTCTAAGTTAATAACTAGGCCTAATGATTTTTATAATGGAAATTAATCAATCAAAAACCTACTACTTAAGCTGGACAATGACTTTCCTCTAGAGCTGCTGTACAACCAAGACAGTCTTTGTTGCATTAATTTCCAATTATCACTAAAAAGCTGCTTTGAAACAATCTGTATTGTATATGAAGGTGACTTGACTTTACATTATGAGATGTTGCAACTGTGTAATTCCTAACCCTCAACACAATCAGAGTTATATAAAAAGTGATATAACTAGTGATTTACAGTTTATAAAGTTACAATTATGGATATTTTTCTTACAAAAACGCATGGCTTGGCTTCAGAAGGCCTTTTTAACCCCCTGGAGTCGTATGGATTACTTTTACGATCGATGGATGCGCTTTTTTGGGCTTCAAAAAAAATGATACCTTTCACTCCTATTATAAAGCTTGGAAGAGCAAGGCATTTTTTTATATAACTTTGATTGTGTTTGGCTGAAAGAAGAAAGTCATATACACACCAAGGATTGCTTGAGGGTGAGTAAATTATAGGATCATTTTCATTTTTGGGTGAACTAACCCTTTAACAAGTGTATGTCCACAACAAACCAATATATTTCTACATATAATCATGTATACTTCTAACTTATTGCAGTGCACATGTGGGAACATATCATTAACTGTATCAATAACAGCACATATGTTAGCCGAGCAGCACTAGCGTTAATGACTGATTTAACATTAAAGTTTGTAAACCAAATCTTGCTCCATCCTTTATCATTGCTCAAAGTACCAAGAACAACAGACAATCTGCATTTATGGGCGCATTTTTAAGTTAAAGTGGCCCACAGCTGATTAGCTGTTAGCCGGAGACCTACACAATATAAAACACAAAACTACGCATTTTGACCACCTGGTAGAAAATACATCAATAATTAATCATATAACAGGTTGTGATTTTGAGGGTTGGTCGAATTGGTGGGTACTGACCCATCTTTAATAGATAAGCGTTTTGTAAATCTGCTCTCCCACAGGGATGTGTTTTATCACCAATTCTTTTCTCTATAACCTGTAATAATGATAATTTTATGCAAAATATGCAGATGACATGGCACTGGTGGGATGTGTGAAGGACACCCAATCACTGGACATTATATTTTAATTTTGTTAATTCTCTCACAGCCTGGACGGAGGAGAGTTCTTTGCAGCTTAATATTAACAAAACCAAAGAAATGTGTTGTGGGGCTAATATTGCACGTAACACTTTTTAAGCCTTTATTAGGTGGAATCTTTGCAGGTGGGATCTTTTAAATACCTGGGTACAGAGACTGACTCCCTGTTTAGATTTGATAAGCATTCAGAAAGTGTTTTTTTAAAAGGCTTATCCTGTATGAGGAGTTTTGATATGGAAAAGGACATTCTGATAGTTGTGTATAAATCACTCATTGAATCTGTGCTCACTTTCAACATTGTATCCTGGTACATCTCTCTTCTCTCTGTTAAATGCAAAAACAGACTTTTAAGGATTATAAACATGGCTGGTAAAATTATTGGTGAGAAACAAGTAACTCTGTCTGATCTTTACACTGTGGCAGTACAAAGGAAAGCCTCCGTTATTGTGACAGATTCTTCCCATCCCCTGTATAGTTCATTTCACATATGTCCGGTATTTTTATTTTATTTTATCTTAAATTGTTGTTGTGTGGTTGTCTCTTGTATTGTTTGTTGAGCCCTTGTTTAAAGACAATTTTCTACCCCAGTGGGGATAGACAATAAAGCTTTTTTGAATTTGAATTTGAATAAATCTTATTTAGACGCCATGTAAATTTGAGAAGCAATCATTAAAAGATTGTACTGCTGTTGTATCGCTGTGTCATTTTAACCACTGACTCTTCACATCCTCATACTTTGGAAGTGTTTACAAAGATGAATTACTTTTGCAGCGCAGAAAAGTGTCCTCTCGACATGTACACAACACCAGCTACAGTGTTTGAGGGCGGGCCAGAGTAGACGTTGTTCACGCACCTGAAAATGCACCTACCTGTAAATGTTTTAAATATGCACCTAAATGTTGGACACACAAAAAAAAGAAAGAATATATATATATATATATATATGCAAGTGTGTGTGTGTGTGTGTGTGTGTGTGTATGTTAGTGTGATACACACACACACACACACACACACACACACACACACACACACGGCCTAGGCTATATCATATTTTTCTTCATCATATTTAATGTAAATGATGACATCTTTGAAGAAAGAGCATGTTTACACAATGTGTGACTGATTGAAAAAGTGTGTTTCCGTTCTAACAGATTTTTACACGTATGCACTTATCTGCCTCATGCATCACACAGACACTGAGACACACAATCTTGTGAAACACATCGTAGGGTAAAGATGTGCTTGTAACCTTGTATATCCAAAAATCAGTTCGAGAGTCACTGTGTTCTATTTGTCCACATGAGTCCAAAACACCAGACCTCTGTTTGACATATCAATATTAAATTGATCAACTATAACACATGCATGCCTATATGTAACTATAGGACAAAGCAATTAAAGAAATCTAATGCAAACAACACTAAAACATGATATTATGGGTCAAAGACGAATAAGACCTTTTAAATCTGATCTAATCAACTATCAACACTTAATATCAGTATCTCTCTCTCTCTCTCTCTCTAACTACTTAGAATTGTCCTAGAAACCAATAACACACCATGGAAATGGCCAAGCAACACCCTAGCAACCACACAGCTTTCAACATTCAAGTCTCTCTTCAAAACTACTACTAAAATAACCATTTCATTCCAGTAAGATATTTACTATAATACTATGTTACGACTGAGGTCAAAAATTCACAGCCATTGCCTTAACCATCTGACCAGCGGAAATGTGCTGCACGACACACACATCCCACCTCATCTGCCGTGTTTGTGGATCAAAGCAGATTTAGATGAGATTGAATGAAAATGTGTTCTTTAATCAGTCACTAATGCTCCTCATGCTCATCCACCTAAATCAACTTCCTGACGATTACAGGAATAAACTCACATCAGTCAATTAGTCTCACCCTTTTAGAAAAATTAACAGAATTCAATTTCATAAATAATCAAGTGCTCTAAATATCAAGCAAGAACACAGTGTGTGTAGAGCTTTTATAGGGACACTCTTTCAAATGATGTTATAATGTGTGACCATGCACGATTCAGTACTCTTGATGAAAGTGAGAGATCGTCACACAAATAAAACGTTATTACCTTTTGATCGACTATGGAGCAGACCAAATCCTTGACCGAATTGAGTGACAGATCGTGTGGCTCCAGGGTGACCATCTCCCTGGTGAGTCCGATCTGAAGGAGGAAGGACACTCCTCCGTGAAGGGAGCAGGTGGGGCTCGGGACACTGTGATTCCCATTGGAGAGGCGGACGTAGAGTGGCACCGGAGGGCTGGGGGATGGAGAGGGGGTCGGGGGGGCAGTCTGATGCTGAGAGTGGACGAAGGGTTTAGGTAAGGTCAGAGGAGAGGTGCTACTACTGGCAGACATTAGTTACCTCCACAGGTTGAGAGTAAACTGTGTAAAACGGACAAGCTTGGAAACCGTGGCCGATATCCGATGAGGGAACAGGTTGTGTTTTTAATCAAACACAATGTTATTCTGTCCTAAGGCAGGGTAACAGATTTGGCACAGGCATGCGCAAGCCGTGGTGTACGAGGCAGCAAAATTGGAGCGAGGGATAAGGTGCCTATTTTTCGTTACGTCGCCCTCTAAAAACACGGATTCCCGATAGCATATTCATGGCTGTCTGTGCACTATCCAGCACATGTTGAATTGATAGTGTCACTCCACGGCTGAGCGATCAGGATGCCAGCATGATGCTTGACAAAGTGCTTTCCATTGCAATCCAGCTCCTCATATCTGTTTGAAACAAACACAGATTCAAGTCTTTATTCCACAATTCCCTGACTGTGAGCTACAGAACTCATTCATTAATAAGAATAGTATTGAATATCCTAATCAAGAGTGTAAACTTTTCTGGAGGAGTTTTGCACATTTTTGTCTTTTGCTATGAAGAACTCCAGCTCACATCTGGAAGCACATCTGGAGACCCTCCCACTCTAGATCGCATAACTGGCACAAGACCACAAATACCAGCAAAACAAGTTATACAATGTCTTTGTTCGAGCTTTATCACCATGCATCATTAACAACTGAATCTCAAGACGAAATAAACACACTGAACAGAAGAGGGAAAGAAAGGAACACATACCTTCAATGCTGGAAAGGCGTTTCCCTGACAAGTGAAGAGATATTTGGCTTACTATCAATGGAAAACGAGGACTTGTAAGCTTCGGGGTTTCTTGTTTAAGGCTTCTGGGGTTTATTTTAGCCTATTAACCATCGCTCGGTTATAGACTTCGTTACATGAGCTCGATTTGAAAACTTTCTAACCTCTTCTCATGTCACATTACACGCGTCTTAATGTGCGCTCTCCATCTCCGCGGGCAAATAACGAACGCCGCACAGACAGAGAAAGTAAAGGCTGAAGGAAATGGCAGGTCTGTCGAGCTGAAGAAGTGAAGTTGAGCTTCAAAAGTGCAGAAATGTTTTTCTCTTTCTCTCACTGGCGTACGCGCATGTCTCTCACGCGCAGTTTCCGTTATGTGAGTATTCCGCGTGTGCGCGCCCTCTAGCGGCGTCATTCCACGGCCACTATGACGCAATAAAGCATTATAGAGTCCTTAATGATACATTGTAGCGGCTTTTATCTGTGATTGTCCACAAAGCTCAAGCTGTTCTTGCTCATCATAATTATAGCATTGATCACAAATATAGTACTATTATGTAAACGGAGGGTTTAGTAGTTCATTGGAATTTAAAAAGGGGGGGGGGGGGGGGGTTGATTCATGCATTAAATTTGTAATAATTTCAATACACATTAACTAATGACCTGTATACAGTCATATACCTGTATGTTTGTAATGACGTAATGATAGCTACAATTAAGTAGTCATTCACTTAATATATTAATATTTTTGTAACATTTTGTATATTCCACAATTGCATGGTGTATGTAAACTCTGCATCACAATTATATTATAAATTATCACTACAGGTCTACTGTAAAAATGTACCATGGGATAGTGATAACTATAATGATTATGATTAAAGCTGCAGAGTAGGAATAACTTACTAGAATCATAATAAATGGAGAAATCAGTCTGATTATATTACACACATTAAAAGATGCATTGAAAAACAAAAATGCTGGGGAGTGATGAGGTGCCAAAATCAAACCAATTATAGCATAAATGAAATAAATAGACAAAGTGAAAATCATTTGAACTTTAATGCTTTCCTTCATTAATGTCAGTATTGAGGGAAAGAGTGGTCTATGTGCTTGGCCCAGGCCATCAATCCTCCACTGATGTCCCTCACAGTGATCTGCTCCATTTCTAGCCCAGACATTTTCTCCAGGAGCTGAACTGCCTTCTGGGAGTCATTGCCTAGTTTGCACACCACAAACACTGCAAGACAATAAAGGTAAACACATAGATAAAGTTAGCTGGTTCACTCCATTCAAGCTCATTTACTCCAGTCATACAAATAATCTTCTTTTACAAATATATATATATATATATATATATATATATATATATATATATATATATATATATATATATATATATATATATATATATATATATATATATATATATATAATATATCACCAGTTCATTTTTGATAGAAGATTATAATTTTCACCAAGTCTGCATTTATTTGATCAAAAATACAGAAAAAAAAAAAAAATCTATTTAATGCATCCTTGCTGGATAAAAGTATCATTTTCTTTCTTTTTATAAAAGTAAAAATTATTTTTACAAAGTAAGCTTATTCACAGCAATCATACGGCACACAAAGAACTTTATTTTACCCAATATTATATATATACCAAATTATGTATTATCAAACGTGAGTGTGTGTGTGTGTGTAAAATGTGTACGTAAACTCCTCATCACAATTATATTATAAATGATCACTACAGATGTACTATATAAATTACCATGGGATAATGATAACTATAATGAATATTTATGAATATATCAAAAATATATTTTAAAATGTAATTGGCTGAACTGGTTCTGTTATCAATTTTTATTGATGTTTAATTACTAATAATGGTCATTATTAACAATGTTCAAACAATGGTCAAAACTGGTTTTACTCCTCAATTTTTTCTGAAAATCATGCTACTAAAGAAAGTTGTAAAAAAAATTATTTGAAATAGAAATATTTTGTAACATTATGAATATCTTTAATATCACTTATCATCAATTTATTGTGTACTTGCTGGATAAGTGTTATTTCTTTCTTCGATTTTATTCTTCTATTTCTTTTTATAACCTTTTCCTTGAGATGTTGGTGTGAAATATTCCAGTAATATAGTTTTATAATTTCAGGCTCTTTTCTTAGGCAGTTAGTATCTATCTCAAGTGAAATCAAGGCTTATCCAATTAGTTTAAATAGATTAACATCTCATTAAAAAATCTAAATATACAAGTCTAAACACTACTTGATCATTCAACACGAGGCCAGCTGTTTCTGATGATTATGCCTCCTCTGTCCTCAGAATACGCAACACATCTAATAATAAGTGATGGCATTTGGCATTCAGATAAGCGCTTATTGGATAAAGATGGGATCATTATGTGTGGCTCAACACCATACATTTTCATGCCTGCGCATTGTGAAGTTTAGTTTTTCTGAGCAGAAAGAACTGAGGTGCAGGAGAAAGGAGTGTTAAACATTAATCACAAAAAAACAGCATATAACAATAAAGATTCTTACCTGGGACTTGAGATTTGGTCTGTTGTTTGAGGTTACTAATTGTATCTTTTAAAAGTGTGATGTGCTCAGCCTTTTTATCCTCTAAACTAGCTAGTGGAATGTCTGTCATGCAAGGTAAGAAAATTAAACTGAAGGAATTAACTTGATTTTTACTAAATCTCACACTAAATATGAAGAATGAAGGAACGTCAGCAGAAGTGAGACGAGTGTTAGTGCCTCCAAACCTGAGCACGAGAAATGAACAAGTGTTTGTGCCAAGCTGGTACATGCTCTATTTGGTCACCTGGGGCCTGTTGTAAAAACATTGCTAATCTAAATGTGTATATCAAATGGAAAACAGAGTTTAAAATCATTTTGTTTACTTCATTACTTCGCTAAGGATACTGATTTTGAAAAGGTAGACTGAGATGGCGAACAGGAACATGCAGGGATGGATTACTGCCCAGGGGCCCTTGTCTACCAGAAGCCCACGGGGGCCCTGGGGTTTAAGGGCGCGCAATCCAGTTTGGTTCAGAAAACCCATTAACAATGAAATGTTTATTAATGTTGTAATATATCTGTCCCATAGCCTACAAGGCCTCTTAAATAAGGCTCTTGGACTCCGAGGGCTCCCTGGAACTTACTGTTGGGCCCTATGTGAATATGAAGGCCCCAAAACCTCTTATAGAACTATTGTCACTCTTTGAGCTTATTTTTGTGTGTGAAAAGTATTGGAAAAATAACTATTTATTATTACATTATAACTGCCCATTTTCCCTAAGTTGAAGTGAGACTACATTTTTAAACATTGCCTAAAATTGTATTTGCCTCATTTGCATAATGTTTTATTGCCTAATTATAAATGATCCAACAAAATGGGCCTAGAGAGAGCAATAGAGTATGTTTTAGCATAGTTATTAAATTTGAACTGTAAAAAGTAAAAACGTACACCCTTCACTCTACAGTTGTTTGAACGACTGTAAAAGATGCACCTTCAAATAAAAAAGTAGATATTCGAATACATTGCTTGATATTTGATATCCGTTCGAATTAGATTTTTCTCAAAAGTGACAGCCCGAATGAGGGATGGACCTCAGTTCTTCTAGATCCAGGGGCAAGAAAACTTATACAGTTTAAAGTTAAATGCATTAATCTGAACTGAAGAGCTCATTAAAAATATATAAACATCCTAAAATACCTTATAGGCAAAACTGCATACATTTGAATTTGTTTAACACGAATAAAAATACTATTTGGCCAGTGGAAAAGAATGAAAATAACTCTTCTCAGAAAACTTTCTCTAGACAGTATTTCAAACAAATAAGGAGTTATTTATTCTAAAACAAGACAAGGATACCGAATGATTTTTAGCAATGTAATATGACTTGAACAAATGGGATTTATAGTCCATATTTCATATTTTCCTAAAGTCTTGTATCGTTAAACATGGTAGCCTATCAGGTGGATGGGAATATGCATATGGAAATGATATGCAGATGACTGCATATGATTATTTCGGTGAGGAGACGCATGTGTCTTCCACTGACTGAGTTTCATTAAGGGAATTTACGCATGGTTTTATAAATCTGAAAACTTTTGATTGTACGCACACTTTTAGGATGAACTCTTATACATGAGGCCCCTGGTCATTATGGCGGGTGACCGTTTCACTTTCAATTAGTTTCTGTGGCATGAAGAGCCTGCAGTGGAAACCAAGAAATTAGCCCAAAAAATTAGCTCCAAATATGCATATTCATGCATCAAACTTTATGCAGGAAATTGTAATGGGATCTTAATAAAGAATCCCTTACATTTACAGGAAAAAGGAATGACAGTAACATGTTACTGAATAAGTGTGTTCCACCTCTGGCCTGTTAACACGTGCTTTTGTTTCTCGTATCTATAATTTAGTGAGTTTAAACTGTCTTCCAGTGGAAAAACAAGCTATACACTTAATAATTTTAACAAATATATACTACACTATTTGTAGTCACACAGTGTAAAGAATACAATATTTCTATTGTATTTGCTTTTTTCTTTACTAGCCTGGGAAAACCCAGACAACTTCCGGCAAATTTAGATTTGCTCTGAAAGTTAGTCTGGCAAAGAGCTCATTCAAGCCCATTTCCAATCCGTCGAAATCGAGGCACCAAACAGAAACGTTGGGGCGGGCTTTACACGATGACGACAGCTCTGGGATTTTGAACATGATTTTGTAGCCTACATTACAAAGATGGATGCCGCCGTCGAACATCACTCATTCGAATCAGCCATCGCGTCTTTTTTAAGCGATTTGAACGTTTCCTTTTTGTTAAAAACCTAACAAAGAACAACACTCGGAGATGTTTCTCCGCCGCTCTGCATTCGTCATCTCCTTCATCGCTCTGATTGGGTTTAGGTCTATCCGCGACGTCCGTTGTTGACGCCCCTCTGGAAATGATTTGTCTGTGACGCTTTGCCAGACCATAACTCAGTTACAACTGAGAATGGTCTGGTTTTAACCAGGCTATTTTTTTACAGTAGCCGGTATGAAATCAGACTCGCTGGTAAAATGCCTAAAAGGTAATAGCTAGACCACCAGTCAAAAGTTTAGAGTAATTAAGATTTATTAACATTTGTTGGGTCAAAATCACTATAAAGTGCCTCTGGTGTCCTCATCAGAATCACTCATGAGCATAATGCAAAATAATGAAATTCAACCAAACACTTACACACATAAAAGTACAATGATAAATCTCTTGAAATGCGTTTTTGTTTGATTGGATGTGTGATTTTGGCATGTCTCACATGCTGCTCATTGTAAAAAGTGGTTAAATGGCACAAAATTTAAATAA